TAATTTGGAAACAATGGTTTAACTTTACAGCAAACCGTCAAAATCACCAATTAAAGCCACCCAAAACCACAATGCTTATCAAGGCCGAATTTGCAGTCTAAATTACGGCTAAAGTATAGAGGTAAAATCTGGCAGAAATCTGTCGGTGGATTCCGACGCGACTCCAAAATGGCCATGGTCGAGGTGGGATCAGATGCATGTCGCACTTGGTGAATCCCCAACTTCCTAAGCAGCGGGCAACCCGTATTGGTGGATTTGAGCTTGCGACTTCGACTCCCAGTTGAAAAATCTCTGCGACGGCACGATTGCGGCGGAGCAGTGTAATTCTACGTTGTTGACTTACGACGAGCTAGATGCTCCTTTTGTGGAAGAAAAGGGTAATATGATGCTTTGGATTTTTTGTCCAATTTCAGTTTTGAGAGTTTCAAGTATTGTATTCGAAAGGATGAATTTTGTGTGATGCTCTCTACGTACATGAATGCAAAGTGTTCTTCACGTAATTAAATATCCCGCTCAATTGTAACTACAGAGAAAATCCAATTTAGGTGCACAGTCTTGTCGTACATACATTATTTATGGTTTGGACTCGTAGGTGACTAGCGATTTATCGCCCGGCTATTATGTGAGAAGAGTATTGAGCATAATTATATTACACCCATTATCGTCGTACAGACCCTTGCATTTGGTTTCGACTTTTGTGCAGTATATTGTCGTATAGGTCATTGTAGTGACTCCGATTAGTTGACTTTTGAGATATGAATTCAGCCGTACAGACTACCACAGGAGTTTCAGCTATCATATCATATTTCTATGAAATTATTCTTACCTGATTTGCTTACTTTATTATATCTTGGCATGTCATACATATGTTTATGATTATGTGAAGCATGATTGAAATGATATAATTACACACATATATTTATGTATATTCTTATATATTAATTATGGGAAAAATTTTACTTGTTTTACGGTGATGGGTTAGTATATTCAAAGGAAAATAAGGTTTTCATGTAACTATGTTTTACTGACCCACTCAACTTTGTTTTTCGCCCCTCTAGGTTTTAGTTAGCAGAGTTTGGTGGCCACGAGGAATCCAACGGTGTTCTGACAGATTCTGAAAAAGTAGGATTCACCCTCTGGTGTTGTATCTTAGTAATTGTCCTACTTGATTGCAACTAGATTTTCTTATTGCTCTGAAAGTGTATTTATACACTTAAACTCTCACTAGTATCCTTTCTTAATTGGGATTGTTTGGTTTTAAATTGTTGGTATTTCTCTTACTCTTTGTCGCTTCCACTTTGCGCTCATGGCTACGTCACTCTCACGTAACGGTCAGCACGTCTCGACTCCGGTCGGGGTGTATCACTGCAGTATAAAAAGCCCATAAGAAGTTGAACTCAAAAGACCTAGAATGGTCCAGAACAAGGGAGCCCAAGAAAGGAATTATTTGGTTTGGGCAAAAGGTGGAAGTGAACCCGAGTCCATCTTAAGCCTAAAGGACCAAACTTTGCTTATGTGAATGTAGTCACCCAAGATTAGTGGCGTAATCAGAATTTTCAAATAATAGGATCATAATATCAACCAAAAAAACTTTATTGGGCCATTTCGTCGAGCACCTAGTAGACACCTTCCAATTCTTATTAGCATATGCCGACATATGTTGACATTTGTAAAGGCTTGTCGAGGGTGGATGCAAGATACTGTGGTGTAATGTTGATGACTGTCAAGGCTTTTCAACTGAAGTATTTCATACAAGAGAGAAAATGAAGACAAATATGACCGAAGAAAATATAAAATATAGGAGGAGAATGTTGTAATTTAGTTTGTCTTGGCTGTTTATAGGAGTCAAATGCCATATATAAACAAATATCAAGCACAACCAATGACCCCATGCTAACTCCGCTCTTACCCAAGACAAATAAATAACTAAGCTCACTATTGAAAGACAAATCCCAATACCAAGTAGACATTCTACGTATACAAGTTGCCATGGATTTTTTAGGCTAACTTGCTAAGAATACATCACAAAAATTACATTGAAGTACTTGAAAATGATTAAATGCAATATATTTGAGATATTTTAGAACTGTTTGAGAGTTCTTTGTTTAGCAGGGTTTTTTTAGTGCAGTTGTAATGAATTTTCAATGTAATTTCATTAATTGAGTGAGGATTTACATGTAAAGAAGTGAAATTGGAATAGGCATTTAAACGAGCAAGATATTAGACACTAGGGCTCGATCGTCGGTGTTATTCTTTCGAGCTACCTACTTTTTATCCACTCATAGCCAATGTTCTTAAAGATGTTAGGCGTTAGTTGGATGACGGGTTGGGGTCTAGCGCCTAAGCGGATTTAAGAAAATTTATTATATATTGTATAAATAAGTGCTTACTTATACTTAAAAAAAAACACACATAATTATATTGGGACACATAAATTGCAAAATAAAATGACATATAAATTATAAAGTACTAGATCATATTGAAAACATGAGGAACAAACATAATGAGTGTTCATTCAAGTATTCAACACATCTCTTACATTTTGTTGAAAAATTAAAATGAAAAAAGAAAGTTATTGATTTTTTATCTATGTTAGGGTCGCGACTTAGGAGGGTTTTGGCTGATTGGGCGGGCAACGTGCATTTTCTTAATTTCAAATGTCTAGGAATTAAAAAGGCGGTGATCAGCTGCTTAACAATTATAAAAAGAATAAAAAATTCATTAATTTAGATCATTAAAAACACAGTGAAACTACTGATAAGGCCTCAAATATCTAAAATCTTAACAAACAAAAAAAAAAAACCCATGTAACTCTATTTAATGGTTAACACAAAAATCAAACTAAAACAGCCCAATAAAGTTGGCTCAACATTTATAATCAAAATGGCAGGATCTTTTAATTTGGAAACAATGGTTTAACTTTACAGCAAACCGTCAAAATCACCAATCAAAGTCACCCAAAATCACAATGCTTATCAAGGCCAAATTTGCAGTCTAAACAACGGCTAAAATATAGAGGTAAAATCTGGCAGAAATCTGTCGGTAGATTCCGATGCGACTCCAAAATGGCCACGGTCGAGGTGGGATCAGACGCATGTCGCACTGGGCGGTGAAACCCCAACTTCTGGAGCAGCGGCAACCCGTATTGGTGGATTTGAGTTTGCGACTTCGACTCCCAGTTGAAAAATCTCTGCGACGGCGCGATTGCGGCGGAGCAATGTAATTCTACGTTGTTGACTTACGACGAGCTAGATGCTCCTTTTGTGGAAGAAAAGGGTAATATGATGCTTTGGATTTTTGTCCAATTTCAGTTTTGAGAGTTTCAAGTATTGTATTCGAAAGGATGAATTTTGTATGATGCTCTCTACGTACATGAATGCAAAGTGTTCTTCACGTAATTAAATATCCCGCTCAATTGTAACTACAGAGAAAATCCATAACAACATAACAGAAATATTAACAACGATTTCGCCAACAAATCGACGGGAATATATAATGCACAGTGTTCATCATTTACAGGTGTTTCCAAAGTCGAAAATTCCAACCTTGTCGCCTTGGCATCCGTTAATGGTATTCCCACGAACCTCGAAAACATTTCCGGCTGATCGGCCACTAGTACTCTTTTTCTTCCCTTTCTTTTTCCCCTTACCCTTTTCATTAGTATTCATGGGCGTAAGGGGAGGAGGTGTAGCAGCTGGTTGATCATGAAGTCCAGCACTTGAGGAACTACAACTACCAATATCTTGACCTGGCGGCTTCAAGCACTCGCAATCAACGCCATTGTCATGAGGAACAAACGAGGGCACATCAGTACATGGGGCTGCTTGTGTTGGGCAGTGGTAGTCCGGAGCCGTCGGAGCAGCCTCATTATTAGCTGGATCTCCGGTAATGAAATGAGAAGAGTTAGGTGCAGAAGTTGTACTAATTTCATGGTTGGGATTATAATTGCAAGATGGCGAGTCTGGAGTAGTATTGTTGTTGCGCAAGCACAACGCCTTCAACACATGGCTAAATGTCATTGATATTTTTGTTGGTAGCTGTAAGCCTGAAGGACTGTATTAAAAAGATGATGACATAAGTCAAAAGGTGCTAAAGTAGTTAGGACTGTGATTAAAGTGGAGGATATATTACGTACGTTTTAGCTTGATTGCCAGGCTACCATATATTCCAAATCCATGAACAATTATTATCTATTCTAAAATTGAAGAGGAATTGACTGTTCATTCAGCTACAGTCAATTGTTTGCCTCTTGATTTCATCTCATTTACAATAAAACCATGAGATTTGGGCTGGGTTTGAAGGGTATTTATTAGAACTTAGAAGGGTAATTTTGTCCGCATGGTTTACGACGGATTACCCCTTGATTTTACCTTATTTACAAGAAACCCATCAGATTTGGATTGGGTTGGAAGGGCAATTTTATCCTCTCGGTTTTGAGGGAATTTGGGGGTTGCCGTGTAGGTTTCATTTGTTGTCCTTCAATGAGGGTTTCGGGAGGATGGAGGCTTTGACAGAGAGAGGAAGAAAGAGAGAGAGCGAGGGGGAAGGGTATGGGTGATGGATTTCAGAAGTGGGAGAGTGGGGATGGTCAGAGAAAACCATATGGGTCATTCGAATCTGCCACTGCATGCCTGGATTTCCAAAGATAAGTTCCTTTTTTTAATTCGTTTTTTTACTGTCAGCATAGATTGTCATCGTTTCTGCCTTTTTGTTGTGGATTATTTTCGATTTTTTTAGTGTGTTAGTTCAGGTTTTGGGGGATTCATCAAAGATATTAATTTCCCTTATTTGTTTTGTTTTCTCTCATTTTGGACATTCATTTCTCTTTCTGTCTGTTTGTTCTCTCATTTTGGACATTGGAGAGTTCGAAACTCCCCATATTTGAAACTACCCTTTGGGATGATGAGTTTGGTTTTTTTACCAGTTTGTCCTCATTTTTTTTTTTTTTTGGATTTCAATTGTGAAGAAAATAAAGGGGCTTTCTTGGCATTTCTGAATGCTTCACCAAACTCGTCTTCTCCCTTTATATATATCATTAATCATATAAGAAAGAACTTGGTACATAAGCAGGAGCATCCAAATAAGATTTCAAGAAAAGAGAATGGTGATACACGAAATACATAGTTATTCTGATTCTATATAGGAATAATGAATATGTATTCGTCCATTAAAAAAAAGAAAAAAAAAAGAAAAAAAAAGATAGGAGAAAAGTACCAACTAACAGTACCGAAGGTAGCTAATGTATTTACCCTCTATTCTTTATTTGTCCTTCTTCTTTCTGTTGCATTTATGTTGGCGTCTTCAACCGCATCATACAATCTCAGTTTCCTGTTGACAAAAACGGAGGCATATATATCATCTTATCCTCACAATACCACAAAATACAGCTCACTACATATTGGATTCTCTTTGAACACTTTATTTTACCAAAATCTGTTAAAGATGAGTTGATTAAAACTATAATTTGCTCTATTTTTGTAGACCTGTATGTTGAGTTGGTTAGTGTAAAAGAATATACTATAATCGAACGAAGAGCATAATCACCCACAATTCATTACAGTAAACACAAAACCCGCCAAGAAATTACCTTTAGAAAACTTTTAATTCGAAACCACTTGCAGAAAACTTTTAATCCGAAACCAAGAAATTAACCACCAAGGAATCGCTGTAAAACCAGTCACACAAAACTTTAATCCGATAAATCATCTGAAACCAGGGCTCGGCTCAAAATATAAAAAACTTCAAAATTAACCAAAAATTAATTATTAGCTATTCGAAAACACAATTCAGACCAAATAGGAAAGAGGAAGAAAACAAAACAGTTGGAACCAAATGGCGTCAAACATGGAAACCAGATAGTCATTTAGCAGAAACTTCGGGTCCCTCAAGAACTTGAATAGACCCACAAAAACCAAGAAAAATACAAAAAATCTGACATAGAGTAGCGGGGAAAATGCTTACCAAATGGTTCTTCAAGGTTAGCGATTTGAGGGTTTATTTTCTAAATACAGAAAATTTGACATAGTGTGTGCGAGTTCTTCCTCATTGTAATATTTGAGAGAGAGAGAGAGAGAGAGAGTGAGTGATGGAACGTACCTAATGACAGAGAAGTAAAGAGTTGAAGAAATACTCGAGGATTTGTGTAAATCCTCACGTTTATTTTTCGGATTGCAGGTTTGATGAAGAAATCATACAGAAGTTGGGTCTGTACACAACACAAAAGTAATTAACACGTATTAGTTTAAATAACAGAATTCAATTCACACATTACCCCAAAGCATTAGTAAAACAGAAACAACAACTGGTAATTCAGTAACTCCTTAAATGTCTCTGGCATTCCACAAAAGCAAAAATTAAGACAAACTGAATAACCAATACACAAAACAGAGAGCTTTCTACAAATTGGTCCAAAACCCAGTTAAAAAATCTGGTAAATCTAAATAATTTCGAATGGTTCAAATGACAATCGAGTTAAATACTCCAAATTAGTATACATGAAAATAAGTAAGTGATGAACAATTTAATTAAGCATAGAGTACCTAGATTGAAGCAGAAAGTGAAAATCTCTAGCGAAAACCCATTTTAAAAATCTGGCCAGGATAAGGATAATATTGTTCGAGAAAATTATCCAATTTATCTAATGTTTTCAAAGCTACCTGGCAATGAGAAACACAAAAATAATACAAAGTTTAACAGGAATCAGAATTTGTTTTGGTACTCAGTAACCCAGTAGACACAATATCCAAAAATTGCTTTTTGGAAAAGAGAATAATAAAGAATAACTCACATTTTTTCCTTTTACTTTCGCTCCATTTTTCTTCACCGATCTCCTCCTCTGCTTCTTAGTCTTCGATTTTCCGACTCCACAAAACCCGAAATTGACTATAATAAACTTAAAACCCATCAAAAACTTGAACAAACGCAAAAACCCAAGGAAAGCACACAAAATATCAGAGTGAGTATTAGAGAAAATGCTTACCGGATCGTCCTTGAAAGTTAGGATTTCTGGGTTTTTAGTCTAAAAGAATGAGTGCGCATTCTTCCTCAGCGCATCGTCTGCACATTGATTTTCAGGATTGCCAGTTTCAGATGAAGAAATCATCCAATTTTCCCTTTTGTATGCTTTGTGGGGATCGAGAACGTGCGATAAATGGCGGTTCCATGTCGGGTCTGTGAACCGCTGCAGTTGCTGCTCTGATCGTGCGATAGTTGGTTTCCGTCTTTCTACCTGTGAGTGTTTCTTCACAGAGGCTGTGATCCAAAGGCTGAAAATGAATTTAAAGTGTAAGTATCCAATGGTTGTGAATTAATGTCGTTGAGAATTCAGTTCTATTACGTTTTTAACCTTATTTTTTAGACGGTTATTTTTGGGTTTTTTGTGTACGAAGTGAGGGCATTGTAGAACATCCCCTTTTTTTATCTCTTTTTTTTTTTTTTTTTTTTTTTTTTGCTTTTTTGCTTTTTTTCCCCTAATAAAACGAATTATAATTTTTTTTTCCTGACAAAATTACCCTTGTAATTTTATATTTATTTTTTCTGTCCGTTTTATTTTTTATTTTTGTTTGAGAGGCTTTTACGTCCAATAACTTTTGGTGAAGTTTTAAGACACTAAAATTTAATTTTAGTTTTCTAATATCAGAGATTAACATTAGAGATTAGAGATAAAGATATCATATATATAAAGAGAAGAGAAGAAATACAATTCAAACGATGGGGAATGTACTACTCAGTCGCTTCAGAAACGAAAGAGACGATAGAGAGGCACAATCGGGAGCCAGGGAGGCTAGGGAGAGGGAGGCAAGAGCGAGAGAGACTAGGGAGGGTGGGGGTGCTCAGACTCTGAATGCTATTCAGAGACTGACGAAATCTGTGAGCTCCAAAATCCGTCAGTCTGCAAGGCAGGGAGTCATCGCCGTTCTATGTGAAGCCGCCTGGGCAAAATTTAAGTCTGCTGTTCTTTCGAATGAATGGGTATGCCAAGCCTTGCAAGAATACCAGAGACTGAGGGTATGGTTTGTTCTTTCACTGTCGTGCAATCTTGCGGGCATATTGTGCTCTTGCGCGACGCTACTATTTTGTGGTGCACCGTACCCGAAAGCCCCCCCTCCCCCGCCTGCAGACGACGGCCGCAACCAGAATAATATGAAGAGGATGACCGCGATGAAGGAATGGATAGGGGCCGAAATCAAGAAACGGAGATGGATCGCGTCCGCCGCCAAGAAATGTTGATGGATCGCGTCCGCCGCCAAGAAATGGAGATGGATCGCGTCCGCCGCCAAGAAATGGAGATGGATCGCGTCCGCCGCCAAGAAATGGAGATGGATCGGGTCCGGTACCAAGATATGGGTCGCTTCTACCGAGAAACGGATCGCCTCCGGCACCCAGTGGCCAGAACGGAAATCCCAGTGATGGCCGATCACCCCCACCATCAAATATCTTCGCAAGAGTTGAACAGGTTAAGAAGGGTCGATGATCTTATTAGAACCCTTTGCCAAGAACTGAAAGAAGTTAACAGGATTGAGGAGAGCAGGATTGAGGAGAGGATTGAGGAGGATACAGGTTGATTCTTAGGTGTAACATTAACTACACTGTTACTAGATTACGCTGTTCCTAGATGTACACATTGTAACTAGAAGTACCCACTGTGTTCCTAGATGTACAGTGTAACTAGAGGTAGGCTAGAGGTAGGGCAAACACTGTTCCGTCTTTCTTAGCTTAGGGAAAAATGTATATACTTAATGAAAGAGGATGACATACGACCCACAAATTGCTACATTCGAACCCGAAATTTTAATCGTAATCAAAGACCCACAAATCGCTACATTCAGCTATATACTAACCTGGAAAGCACGACTCACTCAATCAACAACAGTAAATAATTAGCCTTACCATTACCAACTATCCAAAGAACCTCAATTTACTGTCTTTTACAATTGAAACTACACTGAAGAATGCAGCAACATACCTCCAACTAATTAGGTTAAAAACAAAATCAAACTGATGAAATTTTCACCAATTCCATACATTTTTCAACTCTCACACACTTCGAGCTAATTCGAACGGCATAGAAAGCAAAATGCAGAAGTCCAAACCTGGATTTTCAACGCGGCCAAGTTCTGCTGCCGTATCCACAACCGGCGGTTGCGCTCCAACCTTGTCTGCTCCAAAAGCTTCTGCCTGTCCCTTTCCTTCGTACTCCGCCCTCCCAAATCAACTCGCTTCCGAGTCGATGAATCGCCCGAGAAGAACATCCTTCCGCGTCGAGTCCGTCAGTTCCAATCCAATCCCAGGCGACGGGGATCGGTTGTGTTGCTCGGTTTAACGCTTCAGAAGGCTGGTTTACAAGCTTGTGAATGTTTGATCGGATGGATTGAGTGGGAGCAGAATCGGAGAAACTTGGATAAAGAGAGGGGATTGGCGGGTGTAATCGTGGGAAAAGGGAGGAATTTGCGTTTCGTTACCGAGAAAATTAGGAGCGAAATGGAGAGACTGTGAGCGTATTTTCTCTCGCTATTTTCTTATTGGATTTTCTCGGCTGGACTTACCGGAGGATGGAGACGTCGGCTGCGAAAGAAATTCAGTAACGTTTTATAAAATAAATGAAAGGCTTATTCTTTCCATGCCCTTAAAACTCTACTTGATCTCACTTTAATACCTAAAACCCAATTTACGTCATTTATTCTTTTAAAACTCAACTTTTATGATCGAATTTCACTTTATTTGAAAGTGAGAGGTATTAGATCCGAATCTCATGGATGTCGAATTTAATACCAAATTTAGCTACCCATTGTGTGGCCTAGCCGAACTTCTCATCTCCTTAATGTAAAAAATATCTATGTACTCAAAAAACAAAAACAAAAACAAAACTCAATTTTTACGTCACTTTGAAATTTTCCATTAATTCCATTAAAAAATTCATTATTCTCTAACCTAGCATGATCCAGCCCATTTATAGGGATCAAGATCCTCTAAAGCGTTATGTAAGGATTCTAGGAATCAATTCATCCTGGACATTCACCACACATTTTGGAACCAAAAATTATTTTGAATTTTGGCAACGAAACGAAGTTGAGTTTTGTGGGGGAGGAATGGGACTCGGTTCATGTTGGATGGCAAGGTATTTTACATTTATGATGGTGGTGGGCCATGGGAGATTGGGATTACTTGAGAGGACTGGGCAAAGTTCTTCATTATTTTTTTCAAATTTTTTATTTTTAATCTTATTTTTTATTCAAAAATAATTTTTAAATGAAGGAAAGTCTCAAAATTCATTCAAATCTTTAAACAAACTCTATTCAAATCTTCAATCAAACTCCATAAGAATCCTTGAAAATCCATTTGAAAGTTGTAAGGACGGTGTATTCAATTGAGATTTTGAAAGATTTTAATGGATTTTCATAGAGTTTAATTGATTTGTATAGATTTCATGTAAAATTTTGATTCAATTATCTCGAAATCTCATGGCAAGAGATGAGATTTGTGAAGCGAAATTTTATTTGAACTCATCTATCCTCTTTCCACACCAAACTTACTCTCTTCACCCATATTGTTTTTTATTAAAGAATTAATATTTTTTTAAACCCAAATTTATTACCTAAAATATCCTCTCAAAACACAATTCAAAATGTAAAATTATCTTTACATCCATTCCCTTTATAAAATAACATCTCTAATTGAATGTTTTTTTTCTTTCAAAGAGGCTTCCTTTGCCCCTCTATAATTGCATATGCTGTATAGGATTAACATTTCCATGGTTGCTTTTTTTTTCTTTCTGCTACCACAACCCATCCATGGACTTGGGATCCAAGAGATCATTTCATAGACTTGAATTTGCCAAGAGAATGTTATGCATGCTCTAGTTCAGTACTTTTTAGGAAACTTTAAAGTGACATAAGGCTGAATGTTTTGCTGCTATGTTAATAAACAAATAAACAAATTGGAGCTATTTCGAATAAAAAAGGCGCAAGACATGCCACTTGCTAGTTCGTGGTTAAGGTTGAGCAATCCTTATTTGTACCCAGAATCAAGTTTTATGTCTTAGCAGTATTAATCAAAAGTCTTTGCACTGGTGTTTTGGGGCGTTTACAGAAGGCAAAGAAAAACAAATACAATATAATATAAAAAGTATGAAATTTTATCCAAAGAAGTAGCAAACAAACAAAATATCCATAAATTGAATCGTAACTTAGTTGGAGGATTAAAAACTCCAAAATTACCATCCATCAATAGAAAAGCTTGTTTTTCTCTATCAGAACTATTAGGGTTTTAGTCGAAATAAATGTAGGATAAACAAAGGGTGATGCTAGGGTTTAATTATAGTATGTGGGTCTATCGATAAATTTGATTTTTTATTATTAATTTTATTTTGTACTTAATAATAATTATGCAATAGGGTAAAATAGACAATTAACATTTAAAATTTAAGTTGGGTGTTAAAAAAGGTTAGGTAGATTTAAATAAAATTTCTCATTTATGAATACTTAAAATACACTACGAAATCTTTAATTTCCTCAAATTACTCAACTTTTAAATTTCTTTAAACCTCTTGTGTCACGGAAGGTTATTTTATTAGGTCCCCTTAACCTGGTGTTGTCGTCTTATTGTGTGAAATAGATTGATCTAATCGATATTCAATTTGTAGACTAATTGAATTATCATATTCAAATTACAATTTTTTTCTCCTTGATTTGAATTCTGATGACAACGGTTTTATTTCATGACTTAAATAAGGGCGTGAGTTTCTCATTCCATGCGGGATAACTTGCTATGCGAACCATCATACGTTCTATTAAAATCTCATCAATCATCTTGTTTTCGTTAGTTGGATTAATAATCTGGTTTTGCATTGTGTTTATTTATTTATTTATGTTTTTACTTTGATTTCTTATTATGAGAAACACGTACCAAACCAACTCAAATTACTATTACCCCTATACATTACGTACATCTACTCCTTAAAAAATAAAGGAGTACAACGAGTCAGCCCAGCTCGACTAGATCCATTTGACACCTTCACAATCGTGTTTCATGTCTTTCTCATGGCAATGCATTTTTAAAATCATCATGTAACTTATCAAAATAAACAATGAAATGGTCATTTAGTACTATGGTCTAGTGTTATTCCTCTTCAATTGTAAGTGAGAAGTCTTAGATTCGATTATCGTCAAAAGCGAATTTGAACTATATTATTGCTAGCCCATTGTGAGACTAAGTCCATCCCCTTCGCTTTGGTGGATAATGTCGTTTTCTATAAAAAAAAATAATAAAAAACCATGAAATGGGCTTACATAATGAGGACTAGATGGGTCCTAAACTAGCCCAGCCCAAATTCACACCATAAAATTGGACAATTATTGGACTTGATCATTTTTTTGACTTTTAGCCCATCATAAATCAGCCCATCATAGCCCAATGGAATGTCCTTCAAAATATTTGTTCCCTTCCACTTTCCAAACACAATTGATGGTCTCAAAGTGGTCCAACCACCAATTGACAGAAAAACAGTGACAAAAAAAAAAAAAAAAAATTCGACAGAAAAACAAAAGCAGAAAAAGAAGGTCAAAAAGATTGACCAACGTGTTCATATTATCCTAAGAGTCATGACTCTTTGTATTCAAACATTCAAGAAGAAGACCACAGACAAGAAGAAAACACTCCTAAACCATCTTTGCCACAGTTACAACTTACATATATTCTATATATACTAAAACCCAAACGGGTGGGACACTGTTGATGAACAGTGAAAGTAACAGTGTTCTTCCTTTTTGCCCTTGCTTGGTTCTTTTAGAGTGCGTTTGGTACGCAGACGGGACGGGACGGGACGGGACGGAACGAAGGTGTAATTTTTGAAAAAGACATGGGGTATATTTGTCTTAAAATGGTAAAACATTGTGTTCCACAGACGTGGAACAAACCCGTTCCAGGGGGGGAGGTGGAACGCAAAAACACCCAAAATCTGTCCCGTGGAACAGCCCGTTCCACCCATTTTTGGCGCACCAAACGCGGGACGGAACGCCTCGTCCCGTTCCGTCCCGTCCCGTCCCACGTACCAAACGCACCCTTATTTCATTTCTGCTGATTTACACGTGTCGTTCATCGATTTTAGGAAGGAGACTGAAAAGGCAAGGTCTTTCCATTTGCTTCCTGTATGTTCCATTTGCTTCCGGTACGTTCTTCTTCCCCCTCTCAACACTCTCGCTCTTCACTTTCTCTCTGCAACCTTAAAACTCTCAAACCACAAGCCAACCATAACCAAACCCTCCTCAACTCTTCTCTCTCTTTCCTTTCACTTTTATCTCCGTGACTCACTTAATAGAAAGTGTCGTACGGCGCCGATTTCGACGATTCTGGCAACAGCCGGCCTCGAGGTTGGTCTCAAACGGTTGCTCTTCACATTAGGTAGCTTCTAGGCCTATTGCAGGTAAACGTCTGCTTCAAATTTCTAGGTTTTTAGTGATTTTTCATGCTTTTGTAAAAAATTTCGTTTAAATTTCTGGGTTTTGGAAAAATTCTTCATTGAACTTTTTATGTGATTTCAGTTATTCATTTAATTCCTTCCATCTCAGATGTCTTTATGATTTTAGAAATTCTTATATAAATTTTTTTTTTTTTTTGCTTTTTTATTGTCAGTAATTTTTTTTCTTCAGATTTTTCTGTCTTTTGATTATTTTTAGAGATATTGTATTAATTTTCTTTGACTGGAAATTTGGGGGTTTGTTAAGGTACAATGTTAATATATTGATTTTCTAATTTTGGGATTGGAAATTTTGAAGAAGTTGGACCACTTGACACTTTTGAATTTCTCAAGGTATGTCTGCACGATTGGTGGTTGATCACAGCCGAAATTGACGTCGGAGGGAAGAGGCTAGCATTTTCCGGCGTGACTTCTAGAGAGTGAGATACATTTCATTGTTCTAGGGTGTTATTTATTTTAATTTTTGTAATAAGATTATTTTGGGTTCAGTTCTTTTTTTCACAAGTGATGCTGAATTGACCACAAAAAGTATAAAAAAGTTGCAGACTTTATGAATGGAAGAGAGCAAACGCAGCAAGTTCAGGAGGATTTGTGTGTTCTGTGGAAGCAACTCTGGCCGCAGGAAAGTGTTCCGTGACGCTGCTCAGGAGTTGGGCAATGAACTGTTATGACTGCTTTTGTTCTATTTTTACACTCTCTTTGCTTATCTTTGTTTAATTGTGTTTATGGTTGTTTAAGTGCTGGATTTTAGGTTTAAAAATGTAATCTTTGATGAGTTTGAATCCACCTTGAGTTGTTTTTGATGGGTTTTTGTGTTTTTTTGGTAATGGGATTGTTTTGGGTTTTTGTATTTTAGAGCAATGTCTCCAACGGAGAAAAACTTACACATCATGTGTTGTTCGTGGTTGTATTTTGTTGTTCTTTCCGTATTGTTATTTGTTTATTTTTTTTATTTTTAAACTTTTGATAGGTGCTAAACCAAATTTTAATCTTTTTTTGGTATTTTGGGTATGCTCTGTTTGGGTTGTTGTTGTTGTTGTTGTTTGGGTATGCTCTGTTTGGATGCTCAGAGAGATAGGATTTACTTTTGGATATGCTCTATAAGAAACTACAATTTACATTTGGTTTTGGATATGCTCTATATTTCAGATTATCTTTTAATTTGATAATGTGTGTACTGAGAAATTACAATTTTTTTTCTTTAACTCGATTTCTCATATTGAAGACTCAGGGCAAATACTTGAAGAGAACTTGACCACTATTGGCTGCTCTTTAACTCTATTTCTCATAATTAGTACAGTAGCTGAGCAATCTGGTAACATTTTCATCCTGGTACAACCTTATTTTTGTTAATTTTCCAATTTATCTCTTTACTCGGTCACTTTTAAGCAAATCACAATTGCGCCTCTACATTTATCCGCTCATTACTATTTATGTTTGCTGCTTATTTTTCATTGGGATTTGTTCTAAAATTCTAATTTGTTTGAGCAATGACAAACTGGAATTGATTTTGAAATTCCGTCACTATGCAAAATTGCAAAGGGGTGATCAAACAAAACACATAATTTTGATACACCTGGCTAAAGCATTGGAATTCCATCATTAATAAATTGAAAAAACCAACAAAAATCCTTGATTTTAAGCAACATACTGATCAAGTTGACCCAACCTAAGATAACCATCTCTATGTATGTATACAAGAAAAAACTGTTGGACAGTTATATATACATAGTTCATGTGTGTTACATAGTTCATATCAAAATTTATTTACATAGTTCACACAGAAATATAGGTGTTGGTAGCATAAGCAAATACACAACTTATTTACAAAAACTTCAAAATCTGTTTAGCTCTTTATCACTGAAAATAGATAGCTATTTCATTTACCATTTGCAATTAAAGTTGAACAATGCTTGCTCCCAATAAATATTTGGAATTAGCCATGTATTTCGTTTTGCTTTTATTTTGGGGTTTCCTTCAAAATTTCTAATACTTGGAAAAGGTGGTAAATGTGCATGTTTTATATGCATGTTTCAGATTGTTTTGAGTTAATGAGTTGGTGTTTTGTGTGGCTCAACTAAGATGAGAATATATTTCTGTTGCCAACTATGGATTTCAATGGATATGTGTGTTGCGTCATCTGATATCAATTTAATACATTTTATTGAATACAATTTTACTCTCGCATCTTTTAAGAGTTAATTGAATTAGAGCAATATTTATTGAAAATTTTGTTGCTGAGAATTTTGTGGGATTTCCCGAGGCACGAATTCTCACCTTTAGATGGCCCAGTTAATTTTGCTTAGTGCTGATGTATAAGGAGAACTCTCATTGCATCAACCCTCAGCAAACATGCTTTTGCTTAGTTGCTAACCCAGTTAATTTTTATGCTCTATTTGCCTTCTCCATTTCCAGTTGAATGAATTGGTTGAAGTGTGTGACTGTAAATTATATTGGTTAATGAACGCCTTCAAGAATATTCTGATTTGGTCCCTTATGTATCTATATAGTATCAAACTATATAACTTTCTTTTGCATGATCCTTTACTGTATTTCTTTGCTGTTGCACTAGATTTAACCTTGGTTCTTGACTAATATGTGATGGTGGATATGCATTGCTTTTATTCAGGAGTATCAGAATTGGGACATGGCATGGGCTTTGCCAGCATTATATGACATGCTTATGAGATTAGGGTTTTAGCTGAGAGGTTAAGTTCAATAAATTAGGTATGTTTCAATAACGAGATATGTGCTTTATTTAGTAATTGGTTGTTGATATGTTGGGAAGACGGATTGACTAAGACTATTGCGTGTGGTTTTGTAAACTGTTTTGGTTCTTTATTGAACATTAGAATCATAGAATGTAAATAAATTTTAATATAGATGAGAATAAATTTAATATATTTCACATGTTTAACACAGTTTTAAAACCCGCGGCATCGCGCGGGCTCGATTTCTAGTATATGCTAAATTGAATACAAAAGGTTGGTTGCATCCCCACCATCATCTTCTTCTTCTTCTTCTTCCTTCAGTGTGTCAACTTAAATTTGTAATTATAGTTAGGTTTTTCTGCAATTTTGGATTAGCGGTTGATTAATTCATATCGAGTGCTTAATTAAGTCTAATACATTGAGCAAGATGAACACCTTAAAAATATCAGAACCATCTTTGCCTCATTAGTTTAGTGCAAACTATGCGAAATGCTTCTTGATCTGATTCACTAATTATAAATTTATAATTAAACCCTAATTGAACTTATAATATTGGCTGACTTGTATGGCAAGTTGCTAGTTGACATTTTGATTATTTGACTCTGTTATTTTAACTCTGTTTTTCAACGAGGGGGGTTGGTGCAGTGGTGTGGTAGTTAAAGCTCAGTTTTTTACCTCCTAAAACATGGGGTTTTTTTTATAGGAAAACTAACAAAAAGTCTAAAAAAACTTCTCTTTTAATGAAAAAGTATTTTTAAAGATATAGTGAATAGTACCAGAAAAATGTATAAATGTGGTTTTTCGTTAAAAGTGAATAGTACGGGGAGTGTTTTGTTAAAACTCCCCTTTTTTTTGGAATTTTAACGAAACACTTCCGGTACTGTTCACTTTTAACGAAAATGACATGTTTACCTTGACAAATCACTCCTGATACTATTCACTTACACATTTCTTTTGTTATTTTCATTAAAACTAAAGTTTTTTTAAGACTTTTTATTAGTTTTTCTTTTTTTTACTGCCTAAAACATTGATTAGATAATTAACTTTAATTAGGGTGTCAACTCTGAACTGATAACTTTTAATTATTGTTCATCTTTAATTATTTTTATAGCTCTATCACTTGATATGTGAAAGCTTTTCTTAGTGGACAAGCAACTAAGCGAAGGCACAAGAATAATTGGTCACTGTCGATGACTTAGTAGACGTATAATATTTGTGTGTTTGATTTTGGATACAAAACATTGAGAATCAAAGTTTGATTTTGGATACAAAACATTGAGAATCAAACGCATACAAACATCGATTGATATCTAAAAACACACGAGAATCATATGTATATATAAATGCGCGTTCAGTACAGTACATGATAAATGCTCTAAACATAGTTATTGAAACTTGAAACTTCTTTTCTCGTTTAGAGACTGTAGAGCATGATGGCTGCACTATTGTTTTACCAACAATGATGTACAATAAAGTAAGAGAAAATCATGAGAGCTTTAGAATGTGAAGCAAGGATGGCTTGCAGCGTTCACATTTTGGTGGTGCTTGCTTGCTTAAGTTAATTAAAAAGTATTTTAAGGGTTCAAATGTTGGATGAGCATTGCAGGCCCTATGTCTGTGTTGAACACAATGGATCAATGCTGCTGTGCTTTATCCAACAAAATGTCTCTGATATTAATAGATTAATACTAAGGATTTAATAGGACAAGAACTATGCGACAAATTTTTTTAATTTACAATTATTAAGGACATTGGAGAGTTCGAAACTATTACAATGATTTAAGAGATCGGGGAGTTTCAAATATGAGATGCATGTGTAGAAACCCAAAACTATAGCCACTAAGATATACGTCAAGTTCTTTGCTTTTTTAAGTTTTGGAGGGATTGGAGCTCAAAAGGGTGCAGGTTTTAAGTCCTTGAAGTCTTGCCTCTCATTACTTTTTCTCACTCAAATTTCTTTACACTCATGACAATATCAAATACAATTTTTTATGTCAGTTCTTTAATACGACAATCCGTTCTTAGCGCTTGATGCATTGTGCCGAACTCTAACAACAATTACGTGTAGCTCATCATACTACAACTTGTATCACCTCCTATTAATCAACAGAATAAAGGTAATACAAAAAGTTGTGTTGATGTTCCAACTAAACTATTCCATGTGCATGTGGACGAAATGACATGCATATTCTCCAGAAGTCCATTATTACTACTATCACAATCATTGTTAATTTCATCAATTTGACTTTAACACATGTGCATGATGATTATTCCTCTCCTTAAAATGGTTTAAAGTTAAACCTTAATCAATCACCAAATGGACTAATCTATGTTAATTTTTGGACATGACAATGGAGTTTACTCAAGTTACACGGCCGTACTAATTTTCTAACATTATTGAAAATGAAGTTAGTGGGATTTGTTAAGTAAATCATTATTTAAAGCCAAATGCTAATTTCTATATGGACGATCAAAAGCTTTGAAAAAACAAAGCAGAAGCTTAATTAATCATGGAATAATGGCCAATTAACTAATAATTTTGGGAAGTAACACAAGCTGTTGAAATTTCAAAAGCAGGACAAAGAAAAGATCCCAAAGAGACGTCGTTTTACAAGGACGACTTGAGGACTTGAGGTGCCATTGAATCTGGTCTCAAAATTTGCATCAATCGTTGGCTTATCACAAGTCACAACTGTCTCGTCCTAAATTGATGTTCCATGTAACACATCGCAATCTTGAAGCCAAATAAGTGCCTTCCTTTTCGATCACGCTGTTGATCATCTCGTCAATATCCTCGTCATTTTCATCGTCATCACTATTCTCATCCTATCATAAACCCTTTGCCTTTTTTTTGCTTGTTGGATCTAATCGATCACTTTATTAGTTGTTGACCATTGTTCATCAATTGGCTCGAAGCCTCAAATGTTATACCAATACCGTATGTGCCTGTATACATGCTAATGAACTTTTGCATGTCCCGATTATACACTTGTTTCCTACGAACACTATTGACTAGTGCAGTCTAATAGTAAACTACTATGAGCTCGTTTATAAGTGCTTTTAAAATGGTTGAAAGGAGTTTTGATGAAATTGATTTTCGGTTCAAAAACACTTTAAGTGTTCTGGAAGAAGCACCCAGATATGTGCTTCTTGCAGGAAGTACTTAAAGTGTTTTTTCCAAAATTAACTTGGATTCTTACTAAGAATTGATTTAAAAAACATATTCACCAAAAGAGCTTTCAATCATTTTAAAAACATTTCTAAACGAACCGTATAACAAGCAAAGTACCCTCAGCAGGCTTTGGATGGTGTTCCTCTTGCCATCACCTTCATAGATGTCTTTGTAGCATAATTTGGGTCATTGATAAAACAAAGATATATGAATGACACTTTGTAAGTACACGCATGGGTCAATCCGCCACATCAAAACGTAACTATGGACTGTGAACAAATCGGTATCACGTATCTCACTATTAGGATTCTCCTCTAACCTGAAGAAAATAGTAGAATTGACACTTACAATTGTAAACTAGATAGGATAACGATAAGGAGTCCATAACTGCATACGTGCACCAATCGTAGTTCGACACAGTGATGCTCCCACATTGTGCAAAGTACTGCTTACAATCCCCACGTATGTGTGTGCAAGTTAGTTAACTTTAGGGTTTAAGAGTATGGATGAAACATGTATAAGCTAAAACGAAGCACAATCAAGATTTGAATTGCCGGTTTGAGTGATCCGTGGCTAATGATCCTTCTTCGATTTTGGTGGTCTTTTCCATGAAAGGTCACCAACCCCAAAGTGGGATTTTACTATAACAAGTTAAAACAATGAAAAAAACTTGACCTACTGCTTGTCAATGCATGGAACGACTTGGAAGCTATTACATAGAATAAAAGGAAAACTAACGAAAATAGCTTGAAAACTTTGAGTTTTAACGATAAAGACAAAATAAAAGTAAAATGAATAGTACCAGGATTGACTTTTTAGTGTAAAACTGTGGTTTTTCGTTAAAGTGAACAGTACCGGGAGCTTTTCGTTAAAGTTCCCTAGAATAAATGCTAACATCAGCTACCCATGTTAATTTTTGACACGAGTCTTAATATTTAAATTTTTTTCAAACTTAATCTTTTTTTTTATCCAATTCAAACTTATTCATGCGCATGTAGACTGAAAACGTCACAACGGAGTATAATAGTGAAATTTTGAAACATTTATCATCAATTTTGATAACATTATTTGCCCGTATTTAAAGAGTCAATCATCCTTATATTTTTTTGAATCACAAGTGGCGTGTATATAAAAGGGTCCATAAAAAAAATTAAAAAAAATTTAACATCATCAATTTAAGGGGGGGTGTTTTCAATTGGAAATTTGAGAAATTTTAGTGGATTTATAAATTTAATGATTTTTATGGAGTTTAATTGATTTGTAGAAATTTCATGTAAAATTTTGATTCAATTTTCTCGAAATCTCTTGGGAAGAGGTAAGATTTGTGGATGCTTAAAATACACTACAAAATCTCTCAAATTCCCTCTAATTCCTCAACTTTTTTCAAATTCTTTAAAATCAAATTCTAATTGAATACACCTAGATTTCTAAGGATTTTAATAAACTATCTTAAAATCATGATTGAATATGTTTGTACCATACTTAGGGCCTCCGTATTTAGACCTCGTATAAATACTCGGGGGACTCAAATGTAATTATGTAATAAATGAAGGGGCAAATATGTAATAAGTGAGGAGCCTTATTCTATAAAAGGACTCCTCACTCTCCTCATTAGGGGAGGCCTAGATGGAGGCCAAGTTTTAGGCCATGGGAAGAGAGCACACAAAAAATAGGCTAGAGAACACACTGCCTCTAGCCTTCTTGTATATTCACCATTCAGAGTGAAACAATATCAACATCAGTGTGGACGTAGCCCAAACATTGGGGTGAACCACGATACATCTTGTGTTCTTTACTTTCTTGCAGATTCACGGTCGGATTTACGTTGTTCCAAGATCCCTCCGGTTTTGTGCATCAACAGAATACACATTGAATTTCAGATAATCATTTAAATTCTTGATTGAATGCCCCAAAATTCATTAAAAGAATTAAAATCCCTCAAAATCTCAATTGAATACAATCTCCTAAAATTGTCGATGTGAATGACAAAATATCATCCATCGAATCGGATCTCCTCCATCCGCCACCAGTGTC